GCATCATAGTCAAGATCAAAGACGAGAACATCACGCCTAAGCAGATCAACCGAAGGGGGAAACTCAGTAGCCTCGGGAAACTTGACGCGCCAGGCGTCGCTGAGCCGAGAGAAGTAGCGGTACTCCGTGTGAAAGCCGTTGCATGGGCGACCAGCGCGGGGACCTGTGCGAATGGTACAGGTGCAGCGAACAGGACCCCCAGACGCCCCACGCTGAGCGTATCAGTCATGAAGCTGCTAAGGCGTGGGGGTCTGACGCTGACGCTGCTGCTGCTGCTGCTGCTGCTGCTGCTGCTGCTGCTGCTGCTGCTGCTGCTGCTGCTGCTGCTGCTGCGGCTGCTGCTGCTGCTGCTGCTGCTGCTGCTGTCCCTGACCACCACTGGAGCTCCCCTTCTGGCCGGCTCCACTCCAGCTCCCACCACCGCTACCACCACCGCTCCCTCCTCCCCCACTCCCGCCGCTGCCACCTCCACTGCCCCCGGTACCCCCGCCGCCACCACCACCACCTCCACCCCCACGACCACCTCCACCACCCCCGCCGCCTCCACCACCGCCCCCTCCACCACCACCTCCGCCTCCCCTGCCACCCCTACTACCTCTGGCGCTGCGGCGCTTCCCACTAGGAGCAGAAGCAGCCCCGACCTCCTCAGCACCAAGGTAGTCGAGAGCAGCTGCAGCAGAGGCGTAGGAGGGGGCAAGAGGGGAGGGGGGGCACCCCTCGAAAAGGGGAGTGCGAGGAGTGCCACGAGCAGCACCTACAGCGAGAATGTTCTTTTCAGCTGCTAGGAGGTGCGTCTCGAAGTCGGCGACAGTGATAGTGGTCGGGTCTAGGGCGAGAAAGTGGTCCATGACTGAGTGAAGAGTGTCAGGGAGGCGGGTGATGAGGAAGTAGAGAGTAAAGTACATCGGAGGGTGATTCTTGGCGAGGAACTCGTCTGAAAGGGCGGCACGAAAGCGAGCGACACTAGCGCGGAGGTGAGAGATGAGGTCCTCAGCGGTGGTAAACGAGGACAGGTCGGGGAACAGGTAGGGTAGCATGAGACGGCCTACGGCTGCAGTGGCTGGGGAAGAGTAGCGGGCAACTACAGCCTCATACAGTGCCTTAGCAGTCTTGTGCTGACTAAAGTGTGCGCGCTCAGTGATCGGCAGGTGGTTGCGAATAGCGAGGCGCGCAGCTGCATCACGAGTCTGCCACTGTGAGCGGTCAAGAGCGGCAGCAGTGTCAGCAGGAGCAACGGCAGTGCCAGTCACGTAATCGAACAGTGAAACTCCGTCTTTGGCATCAGTCAGAAGAAACAGTTGTAGGTCGTCGAGCCAAGTAGCAAACTCTATCGGGCGACCGTCACGATCGAAAGCGAGGACATTGAGAGTCGCCATGAGTGCATCGCAGGTGAGAGTAGCGCGTAGGCGGCAAGGCAAAGCACAGACAGGAGAAACTGCGCACAGGGCGGCAGTGGCGGCGCACAAGCTGCTGGGGCGGCACGCACGTGGCAAGGGCGGTGCTCAGGGCAGCGACGAGGCGCGCGCATGCTGCTGAAGCGGCGCGCGGGCGGGTAAGGCAGCGTGCGGCAGAAGCGGGCCGCGATAGGGCGGCGGACGCGGCGTGCTGGGCTGCAGCGGGCGGCGGACGCGGCGCGCTGGGCTGCAGCAGGCGGCGGACGCGGCGCGCGGGGCAGCAGCAAGCCGCGCGCGGGCTCCTAAGGCGGCGCGCGGGGCAGCAGCGGGTCGCGCGCGGTTTCCTAAGGCGGCGCGCGGGACAGGAGCAGGCGGCGCGCTCGGGACTAGGGCAGCTCGTGCAGGCAAGGCAGAGGCACGCGTGGGCAGCGCAGCGCAGGCAAGGTAGGGCGCGCGCGGGCAGCGCAGCGCAGGCACGACGTGGGGCAGCTCAATAACCGCAACGGTAGGTGGGCCCTAAAAAATCGGTCCTACGGACCTACTGCTCTGAATACCATGTCAGAATGCTAGGCAGAAATGAATGAACTAGGAAAGTGTTTGGTACAAATATGAAACCCTTAAGGGATTGTACCCCATACTGGCTACCCCACTACAGCCTAAACATATATAGCATATATATAATTTGACACACATGAGCACACAGCTGGGCGGTGATGGGGGTCTCTTGATACTGCCACGCTGGTGCTCACCTCTCTGTGGGGCACTGTGGGACAAATGAATCATCTTGCGATTTGTGAATGGATGGTGTGAGTGTTAGCATGGGTGTGGAGGATTGTATACGGTCAGTGGACGGTTTGTGTTATGGGATAGGAAGGTGTCAGTGAGGGTATGGGATGGTGTGAGTAATTACATGGGATAATATGTGTGAGTGATTGCATGGGATATTATGTGTGATGGGATGGGAAAAAATATGTGATTGCATGGATTGGTGTGCGAGTGGTATGGTATGAGTCATGTGTGGTGGTATGGGATGATCTGTGATTGTATGGGACAGTGAGTTGGATGGCATGGGATGGCATGTGTGTGGGATATGGTATGGAATGGCGGTGGGTGAGAGTAATATGGCATGAAATTGGCTGTGTGATGGCATTGGATGGTGTGTGAGTGAGTTCGCATGGATTGGGTTGTGTGATGGTATGGAATGGCGTGTGAGTGAAATGGCATGAAATGGGCTGTGTGATGGCATGGTTTGGATGGTGTTTTCTGATTGAGATGGCATGAAATCGGCTGTGAGATAGTATGGGATGGTGTTTGAGAGTATATGGCATGGAGTCTGCTGTGTGATAGCAAGGGGTGAGTTCTGTGAATGAGATGGCCCGATACGGTGTGTGAAGGTATGGGATGGTGAGTGTGAGTGAAATGGCATGTAATCGGATGTGTGGTGGTATGGGATGGTGTGTGAGTGAGAGGGCCCGATTTGGCCTTTGAGATGAGATGGGATGGTTTGTGCAAGTGGGATGGTTTATGTGGGCAGTGTGATGACATGGGATGGCGTGTGTAAGGCAAACTACTGGTTAGCGGTGGTTGTGTGGCAGAATCAGGTTTGTCATGTGAAACCCTCAGGTCTAATTGGTGCCATGACTAAGAATTCCAAAAGTCACCTTACTATGTGTATGATGTGTGAATATTACAGCATGAAATGGGATGTATGATTACATGGGATGATGTGTGGATGAGATGGCCTGATGTGGGATGGTATGGGATTGTGTGTGAGCCTGAGATGGCATAAAATCGACTTTCTGAAGGTATGGGATGATGTTTTTGTGAGATGGCATGCAATGCGCTGTATGATTGCACGGGATGGAGTGTGTGAGCGGGATGCATGAAATTGGCTGGGTGATGGCATAGGATGGTGAGGGAGCCTCCCTCCATCCCCGCCGAGATTTCCACGGCGTCCACGGACTTTTTTGTTCCTTTCTCTCCGCCCGTTCCTCCCCTTGAGCGACAAACGCGCTCAAACCTTCTTCTCTATCTCGTCTTTTCCCTCTTTCCGCCCTTTCCGCTTCTTCCGTTCCGTCCGCCCGTCCTGACTCCTGCACTCCCGTCGTCGTTCGCTCACCTCGTCGCGCGCTCACCCTAATTTCAAGCCTGCGAGTCGGTTGGGGCGATCTGATTGGGCGAGGGCTACAGGCTCGGACGCGATCACGTTGGACATGACGGCCACTCGCCGGCTGGGAGACGGCCAATGGTGAGGGCTGCGTGGGAGTTCGCATGTCCCGCCAGCATGAAACGGCGAGAATGCAGCGTGACAGTCGCATTTCGAGAGTGAACCTCCTAAAAGGTTGTCTTGAGATCGCTTGTACGATTAGTTCAATTCCTACTCGTAATCAAGGCTCGGAATTCTCTCCTGTGCTCGCAATCGCTTCTGCGCTCACAATCGCTTCTGCGCTTGTAGTTTCTTTCGCGCTCGTAATCGCTTATGCTCTCGTAATCTCTGGCGCGCTGCGCGCTCGTGATCGCCTTCACGCTCGTGATCGCCTGCCCGCTCGTGATCGCCTCCACGCTCGTAGTCGCCCGTGCGCTCGTAATCGCGTGCGGGCTTTTTATGTCATGGTGCTCGTGACTGCTAGTGATTCACCTTCATATCAAGATGGGCTGCTCGGGGCCCTACGTGATCACGCCTGGCTGCCGTTGAAACACACTGCACCGCGATCAACACTCTTATTGCCGCTTCGTACCGGACAGACCTACCTCCGTCAACAATACATTTCAAAATCCGTGTATCCAATCTGGCATAGGGAATTTCAATGAATATTGCATTTTGAAATGAATTCCCACCCAGACGATAAGACGACTGCATATAAAGAGGACAACACAAGAGTTGCTGGCATAGGGACTCCCACTTTCCCCCTCGATTCTCCGCAGCACACAGCAGGCAATCCCAATGCCTGAATCTGATCCAAATCAGCTCAGTAGCACAGCACGGCCCAAACCCTTCTGCCTCACACACCATGCTACGAGAGGAAACCGATAGACCCGTCGCGTTATCGTTGTGCGAAGTTTTTTTTTACCGAAAATCGTATCCATACGGTTTGTTGTAACAAAGCTCGTAGGAACGGCTAGGGAAGAAATCGAGAACAAAAATGATGGCGGGAAACTGGTGAGGCGACTCGAGGGACTCAAGGATCTGAAACCCACCGACACCGACAGGCTCTCCCCGAACCTCCCACCCCCGATTATTATGCCTGACGCGACGCCATCGAGATCCCGAACCTGAACCCCAGCAAAATACGCCTTGAGATCCGTCCGCACACCTTGTTGCTTCATCTCCCACCGTTCGATTTCCGACACGTGGCATGCGTACGAGTAGACAGCAAAGCAGGCCGAGGCTGGAACTCCGACGTTCAGGCAGACAAGGCATGTGGGGGTGGAGACGGGGGGGGTTCGAGCAGGCGAGGGCGGCGTGCAGTAGAAATGGGGTCGTCAGGGTTGGAACTTTTCATTCCCACTTCCTCTGCCGTTCTGTCGATCTGCAGTGAAAAAACTTCCGAAAATCAGTCTCTGTCCAACGATCAGTTTCTGTTCAGCGATCTTCAGTCACGTAACATGGCCTCTCTCGCTGATATCTGCGCTGTTAACTCGGTTTCCCACTCGGCGAGCAGTCCTGTAACGCCTACCAGAGGCATTGGCAGGTTCGGAACCCCGCGAACCGTTTTCTCGCCTGTAAGATCCTCTCCTGTCAAGCCTGCTGCTTGCAAAGGTGACGGTGAGACATGCTGCAGCAGCGTGCTTCTGAAGAGCGTGAGGCCGCTGCTGGAGAAACTGGCCTCCCAAGGCGTCGCTGACGGGCAGCACAAGCCCACCAAGGTGCACGTTGTCCCTGACGCGCCTGATGTGAAGCGGCCTGGAATCGGCCGCTTCGGAGGCAAGCCTGCTGCTGCCGTGCTCGCACCTGCACCTGTGCTCGTCACTGCTGCTCCACTCCAACCATCTGCTGCTGCTGCAGTCACACCATCTGCTGCGGTTGCGCCTGTGGTGGTGCCTGAGGTAGCGCCTGTGGCTCCAGTGGCTTCAACCACACCACAGGTGCCTGAAGCGTCTGTGACCACAGAAAAAAGGTCTGAGGAGGCGAGTGCACGTGCTGCTGATCCGAGTGAGAAAGCGAGGTGGTCGAAGCTGCGTCAGGAGGTTCGAGCAATGGATATTGCAATGACACGTGCTCAAGCATGGAGGGCCATGGAGATTGAAGCGGCCATTGAAGCCGCCCTGCGTGTCTGCTTCTTGCCCAAGCATCCTGATGCTGTGGCGAATCTGACTCGCAAAACCGTGCCTCCTGCATCTGCAGCAGCAGCGACTGTAGCAGCAGCACATGCTCCCTCTGCAGTATCTGCAGCAGCAAAAACAACAGCAGTGAGAGGAGCTGCAGCAATACTACAGAAGCCAATGCGTACCCCATGTGCAGCAGCACCAGTAGCAGCTGCAGCAACAACATCAATGCATTCACCTGCTTTGGCATCACCAGTCAGAGGAGCTGCAGCAGCAGCACAGGTTTCAAGACCTGCTGTTTCAGCAAAGTGCAAGGTGGGGGTTGAAAGTGCATGGGGTAAAAATGGGTGCAGCCGCAAGGCGAGGCCAGCAGTGATAGCAGCTGGCAATGGCAAGGCCAGCAGCAGGCAGGCGGGTGTGGTGAAGAGGAGAGAGGAGGGTGGGTGTGGGGAGGGAGCAGCAGGGAGGGCAGCAGGTGGAAGGCAGGGTGGTGTGAAGGCAGCAGGTGGCAGAGCAGTGGCAAGTGGCGTGTGTGGCAGGGAGGGGGTGAAGCAGCAGGCGGGGAGGAGAGAGGGTTTGGTGCATGAGAGGCAGGCGAGGCCAGGCTGCAGCAGCAGCAGGGCGCACAGAAGGAGCTCCTGAAAAAGCCCTCACTGCAATGGCTGCTCTCAGCATGAGAGCATCCCATAGGAATATGGGCTGTATATACATGGGTACAACAGTGAAGGGTGCGGTGGAACAATGGTGACAATGAAACAACTCCCAGCTGCTGTTGGGAATATGTGATGACTTGTAGCCTTGTGGGTAGCACTATGTACACTGTATATTACCATAATGGAACATGTTAGGACATGTAATGCAAGTAATTGGATTTTCAATTCTCTGTTGCATCTGGGTGGAAGCAGTGCAGGTCACCAAGAAGAGTGCAGCAGCACACTAAAGCACAGGACCATCTCTAATGTACTACAACACACACGGGTCATTGTGGTACTGGATCAATATGTATGTTGATTGAAAATCTTGAGAGCAGAGGGTCCCAGATGATCATGCAGTGTAGATTGAGAGCTTGTGAACAGCTCCCGGCTGCTGTGTTGAGCGTGACGACACTCACCTTCATCTGTGCCTGCATGGGTACGTGTTTTCATGGGTGAATAAGTTCCTGGCTGAAAGGGTGCAAGGGTGCATGGGAGCATGGGTGCATGGGAGCATGGGTGCATGGGTGCATGGGTGCATGGGTGCATGGGTGCATGGGAGCATGGGTGCATGGGTGCATGGGTGCATGGAAGCATGGGTGCATGGGTGCATGGGTGCATGGGTGCATGGGTGCATGCATGGGTGCATGCATGGGTGCATGCATGGGTGCATGCATGGGTGCATGGGTATTTGGGTGCGGCGTAGGTGCATGCGTGCAATAGAAAGGGTCATGCAGCAGAAGCAAGGAATTGGGCGGATTGATGTGACTGAATAGCAGGCAGCAAGCAAATAGAGTGTTGGTGGAGTGAAGACATCGTTTCGAACATGGGGGGATGAAAAAAGTGAGATATTCGTGAACATAGGAAGTGGCTAGCAGGGAGGAAAACGAAGTGAGGTAGCAGGGTGAAGGGAGAGAAGGCGATGGGGTACGTGAAGGTAAGCAGAGGAGGGAAGGAGGTTTGGCGGTCAGAGAGAGGGATTGCGGTTCTTATGGGCATGTTGGTGGTAACCAGCTATTGGTGGTAACAGGCTGTTGGTGGTAACAGGCTATCGGTGGTAACAGGCTATTGGTGGTAACTGGCTATTGGTGGTAACCAGCTATTGGTGGTAACAAGCTGCCCTGCTGGTGAGGAGTGAAGGAGCACATGAGATGGCTGCTGAGGTGGCGATTGGGATGACAAGTGATATGGCAAGTGAGGTGCAACTCATGGGAACGATGTCAACATTAGGATTGCCCTGGGCTCAGCTTTGGGGACGAAACAGCCATGGAGGATGGGATGGGATGTGATGGGGTGGGATGGGATGGGATGCGATGGGATGGGATGGGATGGGATGGGGTGGGATGGGATGGGATGGGATGGGATGCGATGGGATGGGATGGGATGCGATGGGATGGGATGGGATGGGATGGGATGGGATGGGATGGGATGGGATGGGATGGGATGGGATGGGATGGGATGGGATGGGATGGGATGGGATGGGATGGGATGGGTTGGGATGGGATGGGATGGGATGGGATGGGATGGGATGGGATGGGATGGGATGGGATGGGATGGGATGGGATGGGATGGGATGGGATGGGATGGGATGGGATGGGATGGGATGGGATGGGATGCGATGGGATGGGATGGGATGGGATGGGATGGGATGGGATGGGATGGGATGGGATGGGATGGGATGGGATGGGATGGGATGGGATGGGATGGGATGGGATGGGGTGGGGTGGGGTGCGATGGGGTGGGACGGGATAAGATGGGGTGGGGTGGGGTGGGGTGGGGTGGGGTGGGATGGGATGGGATGGGATGGAATAAGAGGTAGCCAAAAACAGAAGAGAACTTTAGTAGCAACAACCACCCAGCCAAAAGCGAAAGCGAAGGAAAAAGAGAAAAGGAGAAAAACAGGCTGAGTGGGCTTGAAGACAATACAGCTCAATCTGACTCGAATGGCGACTCGGGAAAACAAACCCAGCTCAATCTGACTCGATTCATTGCATGCTAATCAATGTACAGGGATGGGGCATGGGGAGAAGGGATGCTTCCCATGTGCTTCCCATGGGCATGCTTCCCATGCTTTCCATGGCATTCACATGGGAGACCAGAGCAGTGCGACTGCAGGTGATTGATGTGATTGATGTTAACATGAGTGCACGGGGACATGGGTGACTGAGTACATGGGTACGTACCTGATATTGGGTGATTGATACGGATGAATGGGTGCACGGATGAAAGGGGATGGATGTGATGGATGCGAACGTGCATGGGTGCATGTGGACATGGGTGAAAGAGTACAGCCAGAGTTCACACTGGGAGAAAAGTGTTGCCCTACCATTTGCTTTACTACTTCCTTCGATGAACAGATCCCTCCAGAAAAAAAAAGCTGTCACGAAGATGTGTTGAAGAACTGCACGGAAAAAAAAACAGAAGGCAAAAAGAAAGAAAGAAAAACTTTCTTAAGAAGCAGTGATGTTGTGTGTGATTGCATGATATGGTGTGTCTAAGGGCATGGAATGGTGCATGTGAGAGCAAGGGATGGTGTGTGTGAGAGCATGGGACAGTTTGTGTGATAGTATACTATGGTATGTATGAGGACATGGAATGGTGGCGTGACGTCAAGGGATTACTTAAGGTTGCAAAGAAAAAAGAAGAAGAACAAGACTTGACGGATTAACGGCTATATTTAAGAGCCTGAGTAAGAATGAAGACTTAACGGGTAGTTTACATTAGAGACAAATAAAATCGACACAATTCCCTCCCAGTATGGGGTGCAACAGTGCGGCGACTCCTATGCGGTGCACTCTACACATGGCACGATTCAGTGCAAACACACATGGCACGATTCAGTGCAAACACACATGGCACGATTCAGTGCAAACACACATGGCACGATTCAGTGCAAACACACATGGCACGATTCAGTGCAAACACACATGGCACGATTCAGTGCAAACACACATGGCACGATTCAGTGCAAACACGCATGGCATGATTCAGTGCAAACACGCATGGCACGATTCAGTGCAAACACGCATGGCACGATTCAGTGCAAACACACATGGCACGATTCAGTGCAAACACACATGGCACGATTCAGTGCAAACACACATGGCACGATTCAGTGCAAACACACATGGCACGATTCAGTGCAAACACACATGGCACGATTCAGTGCAAACACACATGGCACGATTCAGTGCAAACACGCATGGCACGATTCAGTGCAAACACGCATGGCACGATTCAGTGCAAACACGCATGGCACGATTCAGTGCAAACACGCATGGCACGATTCAGTGCAAACACGCATGGCACGATTCAGTGCAAACACGCATGGCACGATTCAGTGCAAACACGCATGACACGATTCAGTGCAAACACACATGGCATGATTCAGTGCAAACACGCATGGCACGATTCAGTGCAAACACGCATGGCACGATTCAGTGCAAACACACATGGCATGATTCAGTCCAAACACACATGGCACGATTCAGTGCAAACACACATGGCACGATTCAGTGCAAACACACATGGCACGATTTAGTGCAAACACACATGGCACGATTCAGTGCAAACACACATGGCATGATTCAGTGCAAACACACATGGCACGATTCAGTGCAAACACACATGGCACGATTCAGTGGAAACACACATGGCACGATTCAGTGCAAACACACATGGCACGATTCAGTGCAAACACACATGGCATGATTCAGTGCAAACACACATGGCACGATTCAGTGCAAACACACATGGCATGATTCAGTGCAAACACACATGGCACGATTCAGTGCAAACACGCATGGCACGATTCAGTGCAAACACGCATGGCACGATTCAGTGCAGACACGCATGGCACGATTCAGTGCAAACACGCATGGCACGATTCAGTGCAAACACACATGGCACGATTCAGTGCAAACACGCATGGCACGATTCAGTGCAAACACACATGGCACGATTCAGTGCAAACACACATGGCACGATTCAGTGCAAACACACATGGCACGATTCAGTGCAAACACACATGGCACGATTCAGTGCAAACACACATGGCACGATTCAGTGCAAACACGCATGGCACGATTCAGTGCAAACACGCATGGCACGATTCAGTGCAAACACACATGGCACGATTCAGTGCAAACACGCATGGCACGATTCAGTGCAAACACGCATGGCACGATTCAGTGCAAACACGCATGGCATGATTCAGTGCAAACACGCATGGCACGATTCAGTGCAAACACGCATGGCACGATTCAGTGCAAACACGCATGGCACGATTCAGTGCAAACACACATGGCATGATTCAGTCCAAACACACATGGCACGATTCAGTGCAAACACACATGGCACGATTCAGTGCAAACACACATGGCACGATTCAGTGCAAACACACATGGCACGATTCAGTGCAAACACACATGGCATGATTCAGTGCAAACACACATGGCACGATTCAGTGCAAACACACATGGCACGATTCAGTGCAAACACAAATGGCACGATTCAGTGCAAACACACATGGCACGACTCAGTGCAAACACACATGGCACGATTCAGTGCAAACACACATGGCACGATTCAGTGCAAACACACATGGTATGGTGAAACACAGGCGATCAACAATGGTGAGAAAGCACATGCCAGAAAAAATCACTTCCCACGTGACATGGCATCGCTGCTGACATGGCATAGCAGCATGCTGACGTGTCAGACTGGCATTGCATACCAGTGTGCTGACATGGCAGGAAAAACACGCCACGTTGGGGGAGAATGGAAGGGGACGGGGGAGAATGGGAGGGGATGGGGGAGAATGGGAGGGGATGGGGGAGAATGGGAGGGGATGGGAGAAAATGGGAAGACATGAGGGAGAATGGGAGGGGATGGGGGAGAATGGAAAGGATCGGGGGAGAATGGGAGGGGATGGGGGAGAATGGAAGGGGA